GCATGACCTCATAAATGATTTAGCTGTAGATGTTGCTGGAAAAATATATTGCAATCTTGAACGTAGCATGGGTGATGAAAAATTAGAGAAAGCTCGTCATTTGTCATTCATTCCACACCGGTTTGAAATCTCAGAGAGATTCACAGTCTTGGATAAATTGAAGCATTTGAGAACATTCTTGCCACTCTGTGATCACTACAAATTTCAGCAGTATTTGTCTAAAAAAATCTTGCATGATTTCCTACCAACATTAAATCGCTTAAGAGTGCTATCTCTTCGCCATTATTCGATAAGCGAGCTACCAGAATCTTTTCAAAATTTGAAACATATTCGGTACATTGATTTGTCTTATACACGTATCAAATGTATACCTGAATCAGTGGATTCTTTTCTCTTCTTACAAACACTACTATTATGTGGTTGTGGAGAGCTTAGTCAGTTGCCTATGACAATTGGGAATCTAATTGATCTCCATCATCTTGATATCACTGATACACAATCTTTAAAAGAGATGCCATCAAGAATAGGCAATCTTAAAAATCTTATAACATTGTCCAAATTCATTGTGGGGAAGGCAAGTGGAATGATGATGAGGATATCTGATTTGAAGAACTTGTCGCAACTTCGAGGAAGACTATCTATTCTAGATTTGCAGAATGTTTTGGATGTCCAAGATGCGAGGGAGGCCAACCTAGACAAGATCCATGGTTTGGAAGAGTTAGACTTGGAGTGGACTACTTTTGATATTGATTTGGATTCTGATTCTGATCTGGAGCGGAATCTGGAGCGGACTACTTCTGATAATGATCGAGATTCTGATTCTGATCTGGAGCGAAATCTGGAGCGGACTACTTCTGAGAATGATCGAGATTCTGATTCTGATCTGGATTCTGATTCTGATCTGGATTATGATTCTGATCTAGAGCGAAATCTGGAGCGGACTACTTCTGATAATGATCGAGATTCTGATTCTGATCTGGAGCGGAATCTGGAGCGGACTACTTCTGAGAATGATCGAGATTCTGATTCTAATCTGGAGCGGAATCTGGAGCGGACTACTTCTGGTAATGATCTGCATTCTGATTCTGATCTGGAGCGGAATATGGAGTGGACTACTTCTGATAATAATCGACATGAATTAGTCCTTAAAATGGAAGTCCTCAACTCGTTAAAACCTCATTCAAATTTGAAAAGTCTCAAAATTTCTTACTATGGTGGTGAGAATTTCCCTCCCTGGGTTTGTGATCCATCATTATTTTTCAATTTATCATCCATGGAGCTCCGTGGATGTAATAGATGCACTTTGTTACCATCTCTTGGCCTACTACCTGTTCTCAAAAAATTGATTATTGAAGGCATGGATTCAATAAAAGCTATAGGTTCTGAGTTTTATGGGCAGCATGGTTCTTTTCCATCACTGGTTGAACTGGTGTTTAGAAACATGCTAGAGTGGAGGGAATGGACTTCTCCAACTGGAAGTGCAGGTGAATTCCCTTGTCTTCATAAGCTTGTGATTGAAAATTGTCCTAAGTTGTTAGGACAACTACCCAGCAACCTTTCTTCACTTAAAGAGTTAGATGTTAGAAGCTGCAATGGGAAGCTTTTGAAGAGTATGGGAGATGTCCCCTTTCTTACTTATTTGAGAATTGAGCAAATTTCAGAACTGACTTGCTTGCCTGAGAGTTTTACACAGTCTTGTACAGCACTTGAGACTTTGTATATTTTAGGTTGCTTTAACCTTACTTGTTTGTGGGAGGAAGGGACAGAAATAGAACAAACCCTCTTGCCTTTCAATCTTAAACATCTTAGCCTCCATAGCTGTATAGCCTTGGAGTCATTACCCAATGCAATGATGATCAGGATGGATGGAAGCAGTAGCAGCAACACTAGTATGTTGATGTCGGGACTAGAAAGGTTGGAAATTGATTGTTGTCATTCTCTCAAGTCGTTTCCAAGAGGCAAATTACCCACCTCGCTTAAATACTTGAGAATAGATGCTTGTTACGGTCTTGAGTCTTTACCAGATGCTGATGGTGACAATCTAAATTTGGTAATAAGGAATCTTCCATGTTTGTATTCTTCTCAGGGTAGTTGTCATAAGCTATTAGCTTTTCTCAAGGAATTTGCAGTTATTGATGATGGCGAGTGGTTGGAATCATTTGCAGAGAGAATGTTGCAAAATTGTACGGGACTTCAATCCATTTCTTTTTCGAATTGTAAAATATTGAAAAGTTTACCCAATCTTGATTACGTCAGCAATCTCGTTGAATTATCTATTTACCACTGTAAAGTTTTAGAGTCCATACCAGAAGAGTTGTGGTTATGCACCCCCAATCTTAATTCGTTGGTGATATACGGGTGTGAGAATTTCAAATCCCTCCCAAATACGATGTACCAGCTGAAATTTCTTCAAACCCTATGGATGTTTCACTGCCCCAGCATCGAGTTCATTCCAGATGGGGGTTTGCCCCCAAACTTAATAGATCTTCAATTAATTTGGTGTAAGAATCTCAAGTGTGTGCCGAATACAATGTACCAGCTCACATCGATTCAGGATCTAGTTCTTTCAGATGAGGCTTTGATGATGGGCCTCCAAAACCTTACGTCTCTTCGATCGTTGACAATTATGGAGAAATTCCCTCTGGATATTGTGCTGCCTTCTACTTTAACCTATCTTCAGATCGAGAAAGAAGAAAATTTGGAATCCATACCTGGGGGGCTATTCCAAAACCTAAGCTCCCTTCAAAGCTTAGAAATAAGAAACTGCCCGAAGCTACGATCTTTGCCAAAGGAAGCCTTCCCTCCCTCACTTGGACAACTATACATCCACGGGTGTCCGCATCTAAATCGACAGCGCTTTGAGGCGGGAGGAGACTACTGGACTCTTACTTGGAGCATTCCCGATGTTTCGGTAAGTGAGTTTTAGGTAATAAGAGCTTGGTGTGAACTGAAACGGGCATCGCAATTTTACGCATTTCATATAAGAATTTAGAAAAATCTTTAATAGATACACTTTTCTCAGACTTCTTCTGCCTTTTCTCCTATTTTCCTTTTCTGTTTTTGGTAGTTCTATTTTAAGTAATTCAGTTTAAATTTTGGAGTTCTGAACTGGAGATGGAAAGATCTGCTTTATGTTTTGTTTTCTTATGGATT